GTTGGATGCGCATCACGACTGACCTAGTTTTACAGCAGTTAGGCGCGCTAGGATAATCCGATACGCGTGCTACCACACACAACGTTCCGCGTCACATTGCTTAGAAGCTCTTTCACCATGCTACTGCATCGATTGCATTGTGCAAGGTTGTTAATCGGCTGCTGTGTGAAACAACACCTCCAGAGCAAGTGGAGATTAGGGGGTTACCCATACTTGTCTCAATCACAAGAGGATAGAACAGACATATTATGACTGGCCCGGCACGCTTAACTTGTATTATTCCTGACGGGGTTTCTCGTGGGGTCCTTACCAACTTCGGTTGTCATTGTGTTGTGACTTCATGATGGATTGAGTTTTTTTCTGGTTTGTCTTGTAGCCACTTTGTTATTTGAAGCGGCTTCTTTTTTTATGACATTTGAAGTCAATTTCTGTAAACCATTCATTAGTTAACCCGCTGCACCACTTCCACGTCACGCAATCATCAATCACTGCTGATGCTCCTCAATTCATCACGACATCGATGCTGACAGAATGGAATACAACTTGTGTCGACCGTGAGCAATCTGGCAGCCATCTATTTTTATCTGATGTGATGATTGTCGCGGTGCAAGACATCAGAATACACAGCGACTGCCAACAACTACGGGGAAACCACTTCCAGGCAGAAACAAACCATTCACCAAGTGGGGTCAAACATCTCTGTCACCTCGTCTTCCCTTGTTACTCCGCGATATGCACCGCCACCAGCGTCTTCGACCCTGGCCGAGCTTCTGATTCAGTGGTCCTCACCGATTGAAGACTCAGACTCGGAACCTACGAAACACCGCTTCACTGATCGGTCCGTGAATTTATCAGGGCTTGTCTGTGAATCACTGAACACCGATGATCCATGGACCACTCATAAGCGCAAGGTGCCACGTAATCAAGTTCAGGCGTATCCCGCTGATAAACAACAACCCAAACCGCTATACACCTCTAGTCATGCTCCCACAGATTAATCACCGATTTTCAGTTTTCCACGTAGCAGAGTCAAAAGTTGAAAACCCTCAGATACGTTATGATCACTAAGTTGAATTCCTCCAGAGGCTCATCGATAGACTCTTGGATGTGGGTGAAAACAGTGTGTCGATTAAACAAGTAATCCGACTTTTCCAGAAATCTAATCAGTCATGTCGACCTCTGAGAATCACCTTTGCAAATCCCAATATGCCGCAGCTCATACTGTCTCGTCTGTCAAGGCTGAAAGTCATAATGGTTCACATCCGCCGAGATTTGAAACCCGAGGAGTTGAATCGTCTGAAGACTGCGGTCATTGAGCTTAAACGCCGTACAAAAATAGGTGAGACTGACCTAAAAACTGTAAATGTTCTCGTAAGCTAGAAGAGTGTACGAACACGTGTCAAAAAGTTGCTCCATCTCCAGGCGTTTTCCGCGGTACCTCCCAGGACCTTCGTGTAGCATAGGCCAACATGTGCAGCCTAATGAACAAGCGCGACGGATTGTGCCTCTTCGCTGTCTCGAAGTGGCCGGATGTTTTAGTAATTGCAGAGACTTGGCTGACCTCCGATGTCGTACCCCAAGAAGTCGCGTCGTCAGTATACTCTTGTTTCCGATGCGACCGAAAATCAAAGGCTCATAGTGGTGCTCTGTTGTACATAAAATCGTCACTACCTGGCAAAATTACCACAATCTATCAGAGCGAGGATAACTTATGCGGGCCATTGTGTTGCATAATCCGCCTCAGTCACGCAGAGCTACTAGCGGCTGTTATCTATCGTAGCCCAATGAAACCGTTGTTTCGATTGGCTACCAGATATACAGAAGCCCATGATCCGCCCTCATTTCTTACTGATGGTGGATCTAAATTTACCTCAGATATTCCGGCCAGACGGTCGACTTCTTCTCGGTCTTAGCGACATTTAGGCTCAATTCGCTAAAGTGACTATCGAAATCAGGGCAATGCAATATGTCATCAAACCGACGCGCGTAACTCCGCACTTGGCATCCTGTTTGTACCTAAGGTTTACGAGCCGCGAGCAGAAGCCCAAAGAGGTCGGAATCCTCGAGCCACTGACGAACGGTGACCCCTGCTCCATTGTGGTAAGCATAGAAATGCCGTTACCATATTACAACCAACGGAAGCTGACATTCAACTATTGGAAGACGGACTTCGACGGGCTCGTCCAAGTCGCAAGTCAGACTGATTAGACGCTACCACAGGATGCGTCGCTTGAGGCCTGTTGGTCATTAATGAAAGGGAATCTTAACTCACTGTGTTCTCGGTTCGTTCCCCTGAGGTAATCAAAAGTCGGACTTGTCAAACCGCATTGGTTTGATACGGAATATAGACAGTTAACCCGACGGCGTCGCAAATTTTGGGATAGGTGTATCAGCTCGGGTTGTAATGAAGATTACACGGTGTACAAGAAACAGCCTAAGTTATTTAACGCCACAAAGATCAAGAAACGCCAGCAGTCCGAAGAGGATCTAGCATTCTCGGCCACAACTTCACCCAAAACAATATTTGCCTACTTGCAATGTCAACTGAAATCTGGGTCTTAGAGAGCTTGGACGGACAGTCGCTCATTACAAGCGCGGAGCGCGCGGACGCCTTGAATACGCACTTCCTCACCGTATTCTCCAATAAACCGGCGGCTGTTGTAGTACCGGCACAGGTTGCGCCAGTCTTGCTCGACAGACTACAATATGATGAAATCGAAGTGTACCAGCTACTCGTCAACCTCGATGGTGCAAAGCCCCCCCCCCCTTCGGACCAGACGGACTTCCACCAATACTCAAATCCCTATTGAATATCATCTCACTATCCGTTACAAACCTATTCAATAAATCACTCTCTGAAGGATCTGTCCCTAACGATTGGAAATGCTTGATAGTGTGACCGCTTCCCAAGTGTGGCGATCCGAGCAAATTAGAGAAATATAGACCGATCTGTTTGACTGCGATATTATTCAAAGTTCTCGAGGTTGTGAAAGTGTGCATGCTGTCGTTCTTCGAATCGATGGACGTATTGACACCAGCGCAACACGGCTTCATGAAAGGGCGATCCTGCATCACCAACTTAATCTACGCAAACCACCAGTTGGTACGAGCTCTCAACGAACGGAAGGATGTTGACGTGGTGTACATCGACTTTAGTAAGGCGTTTGACAGAGTGAACCACTAGTTACTCCTTCGTAAACTGAGGACTTACAGAATCGGTGGCACACTACTTCAGTGCTTACACGAGTTTATTGTGGGACGAAAGTTTAGAGTACAGGTCAATGACTACTTGACAGACTGGTTCCCATCGACCAGTGGCGTGTCTCAAGGAACTGCACTTGAACCAGTATTATTTCTTATTCATATCAACGATCTTCCGCAGCAGCTCCAGTCACCATGTGCCCTGTTTGCAGATGATTTGAAAATCTGGAGGATCCTTGAAAACCATGACGACCGTGCTCGACTCCATCATGACTTAGAGCGACTGTCAACGTGGTCCACTGAAATGCAACTCCCTCTTAACGTAAGCAAGTCGGAGTTTATCAGTATCATCAGACGTCAAGCCACCCGATAATACATTTTGGACGGCCAGTTGCTCCACCCTAACACATCTGTCAGAGACTTAGGAGTGCTCTCGCGACATGATACAGAGAAATTGTACCGTGCAGGACTTCGTATGCTCTGGACATTACGACGCATTATCTCTACATGGTCCAAAGAAACCGTCCCTTGCCTATTCACCTTGCTCATTAGACCAATCCTTGAATACGACACCCCAGTTTACCATCCGATAGCCCAGTGGGAAACTGAAAAGCTGGAGAAAATGCAGCACATCGCAACTAGAATGATACCGAGTCTACGAGAGCTTCCGTATGAGAAACGTTGTGGAAGGCTCGGACTCTACACACTATCCTACTGCCGAGTAAGAATTGACCTTACCATGACCCATCGAGTACTACACTTGAATCACTTCCCTACACTGCGGCCAATATTTCACCTGCGGGAACCCTGTGACACCCTGTGACACCGTTACAAACTCAGGCTCCCCTGCTTGAACGAGGTATCTCATCAGCTTTTTGTAGAACAAAGAATCATAAACTTGTGGAATACACTACCAGAAGGACTAATAGAGGCCGATTTTGTGAAGTGTTTTAAAACACGTATCGACGATTATTTCGGATACATGTGCTTTTGTGAAACGGTGCACATACAATGCGAAAAAAAGACATCCTATACCGGGAAATAATGGCACTAATACGAATTCCTAACGGAACATGTATAAAGGAGTAACTGGCCAAACACAACCGCTGACGATTCACAAATAAATGTTTTTGATCTTTCATAATTCGATAGAGTTGTACCTAAACCTTTCCATTTGCTTCTAACTACAGTCTCTGATGGTGATGACAGCCTAATCCTTTTCTTGCAACGTAGTACTTTGTCCTCTTCATTTACTCCCACTGAATACATTACCAAGCTACTAATGCGTACTGCCCAGACTTCGTTCAGCAACTCCCAGCCCTCATGCAGTTACGGATCAGTTATTGAAACATACACTATTTTACTGTTACCGAAAAGTATGACACCACTTCGCGTATCTTTGGTTTATGGCCCGAAAGATGGCATCACCACGCAACTTATGACGCACGATGTGCCAAATTGTGAGAATAGCTGTGTTCGACGTTTAGAAGCGCAACTTAGCTTACTGTTTTACTTTATAACAAGTGTCATGCTTCTATCAGAATTTCCAAGCCTGTGCGATCTGCTAATTCCATCTGTCTGTCAGCTACCTAAGTTTTCCTCTATAATCGGCTTCCTTTGCCATACCAAACCGAAACTTACCTCCTGTCTGTGGGCTGTAATTTTTATTTCCCATCGGATTCTTGGTCACACCGCCAATGCTTTCGCTTCGGACTGATCGGTAACACTTCTGCTTTGCAAATTCTCTTTTCAATTTCTCCTTTATCATGCACTGACCTGTCTTTTCGTTTTGTATACAGCTATTCAGAAGGCTATGAGGACCACTATGACTAAATCAAATGAGATCCCACATTTTATTCTCTCGGAGGAACTCGATTTTACCAAATTGGTCGCCCTCCGCACTGAAGTCGGTGACGCCGTCATGAACCGCTATCGCATAAAACTCACTTATATGCCATTCCTCTTGAAGGTTAGTATCGTACATTATGACATGATTCTCCCTTAGGCGTTGTAGTACGGATACTTGTCTTTTACGAAATACTTACGTCCTTGTACTTTTACTCCGAAAATATGCTATTGTTAATGAGTATGAGGTTGTACTTATTTTTTTCCACTTGTTCACTCACATGCTTTCCGCCGATGGCGGAGTAGATAAAGCTGCTGGCGTTTAATCTGTTGGTCACCGATTCGATCTTGCTTAAAGACAGGCGAACTTGCAGCATCCCCAGTCTTCACGCAGATGGCCGCGGTTACGTGGCAGCGAACCGCCGGTGCGGTTTACTGGCACACTGCTGATCCTATGCCCCCCACATTCTACCCTACTGCTTTCACACATCCATTCTGACCTTGTCGTCCTATCACTTCTGCTGTGTGGTATTCAATTGTGCAACCACTACCTGATTTTTTCGACGTCATTTTCCAGTGTCCCCGAGCGTGAACACTTCTGATTGCCGCCTATTTGATCACCATTAAGCAACTCTAAGTATTGATCTCATTCTTTCTCGGTTCCTTCCTTTAAAGTTAGCAGTTACGGCTCAGGTCAGGAATGTGGTGGTTTTTCGTCCGCAACCTCTGCCACTGGATCCCTGTACCCCACAAACGATTAGGAAATCAGTTTGGGTTTTCAAGTAACTACTCTGTCTTTAATTTGCAACATGCAGTCTGAGGTAGCATCGCAATTTACTTTGAACTAAGATATGCTCGGTCTGACGATTAAAATAGTTTTTGAAGTGGATGAGTGTTGGTCGTTTCTTGTTCCCAGTGAGATCGATTTCTCCTTTGGACTTTTACTAAGAGATACATGGTGCTTGAAATCGAGATTGCTGCAAGCACTTTTTCTCCGTAAGGAACGTTTAATATAGCAGTCTGGGGTTCACTTTACATTTATCGAGTCCCCATCCGAATCTACACACCCACCAGATGCCCCCAATTACAGATGTAAATTCCAAATTACCGTGACGAATCTTGCTCGCTAAGCTCACTTGCCTTAGAGCTCTAGTGGTCCCCGGTTCGATTTCCTTTTCGCACTTAGTTCTCTGGTTACATAATGCGATGGAACACTTTTCGAATAATACAAAACATAGCCATTAACTATGGCTTATGTGCTTATGTGTCCCTTTTTTACTTTTCCTTCTGGTTGATTGCTTATTTTTGTCGTTGCGTCTTCCCTCTGCACTTTTTTGTTACGTGAGCATTTAAGGCTTTTAGACTATCATTTCGCATAAAACATGTCAAATCGTATTCAGCTAGCTGCTGTCCACTTCCCCATGAATTTCTCTGCCTGTGAATAAATGACAGGGTAAGTTTAAGGGCGGAAATCGGACATAGTGACAGTTTACAAAAAGCTCAAAATTGTCGAATGCGAGGATGCACAGTACGAAACGAGAAACTGTGCTCAGGAATATCATCGACTTCGTGAATGTGCCACCTGAGGAAGGCATACAGTTTTGATGCATCGATTCCTAGGGCGTGATCATTTGGTGCTGCATCCACCACCTTGGGTGGTAATCGAAGTCTACATAATTGCAAACCATATTTTCCACCAACCATTGCGGCGCATCGTTCAATCTGGCATGCTCCTCACATCCGTGCTAAGCACTGGACGACACCAATACCAACCCTACCGATTATGTAGCAATCGGCGAAAGTAACGGTTCTGTTCACTAATCTAGCTAGACTTGTCACTTGCACATATGCCACCGTTCGTATCGCTACTCCTATTCGCGGGCGGTGAGACATAAGCCTGGCGGTCAAAGGTTGGATTTGAAACTGCAGTGCGGCTGTATGGTCCTCCTTCACCATCTCATATTGAGGGTTGACGCGGTGCAATGGCTTACGTGCATCAACGATTCATTGGTCTGTGTTGGGTGGTGCCGTTTGTACCATCAGTCCATTCACACCAGATCGGCCAATTCGATGTTACAAGAGCAACCCCCGCGGACGGCCTATACCGCCCGCCTCCGTTGCGCGGATCTATTTGTGATGAACCACTTAAGTTACCATTATGCTCCACATTAAGTTTCTTTCCACTTTCTCATTCTGCCAGGGTACCTGTGACGGTGTCCGCTGATAAGTTTGCTATGGCTTTATTTATCGTCCTGTTTCTTCTTGCATAGTACAATCGAGACGATGATGAGTGTTTTTTTGGTTATCTCTTCTGCGGTACAGGACCGGCTAAAAGACCCATTGGCAAGTCTAATCTACGGGGTCAGTGGATTCAGATGCACTCCAATTGCGAGGTGCTGAGGTTGGACTGCTTAGACGCACCACAAATCTTCTATGTCATGTATGGTACACACGTTGGAAATGATTTGTTAGTTCACTTATCTCTGTAGGTCTATCACATCTGGTCTTTGAGTCATTCGATTGGTTATTAAACGCTTCAGGTCGACGTGGCTTTTTAGGGACCTAATTTACATAATGTAACTATGTACCATCATGTTATTTGCCACGAGCGGTGCGCACAGTGCTTCGTTTTACCCAAGGTTACGGTGCGGAGCAGGAAATGGACAATCATTCCTCGCAAAATATCAATACCAGCTAGATGTTGCTCACATCCGCTGGAGCTGCAGCTCTTTGAGTCGTCAGCGAAAATACATGTCCTCCGCCTATCTATCAACCCGTTTTCTCAGGAAGCTAGATTAGACAAAACTGACGAGTGACCGACGGGCAAATGTTCGAGGGGAACTGAATTAATTCGCCAGCAAACTTGGTCTGTTTAAGGAGTCCTGTATACGCTACCTCAATGCTTCTTAACTTTACCGATTTCTTCATGTCTCAACTTTAATGAAGCCTTCGCATTCGTCTTTTGGTTCCTTTCTGTCAGCCTTTCTATCCGACTTTCAGAACTAATTTTCTGACTCTTTACATTGAATTTTCACTCGGCCGTTTTCACTGTCACCTCTTTCCAATGCTATTACTTTGTTGGTACCATGCTAATGTGGGTCATAGTAGCTGGATTCGAGGCACGTTGGTTCTTGAATCAACTTGTCCTTACAGAACCCATCTGGTCATCTGATTCCAAACAGTTTGCTCACCTTTTGTCAGTTACGTGTTCGCTTACTTTCTGACTTTCTTTTCAATTCTATTTCACTGCTTGATTCGTGCACATTGCACGTTATCCTCGACCCAGCACCGTGGTCTGATTCACCGTCATTTCTTGCGAACCAGCCAACGAAGATGTTTGGCACTTAGATCTCTATATCCACATCAGCCATGCAGTAATGATCGCAAATCGCACACTACTCTTTAATCTGCACTTATTATTCCTTTCCTAGGCCACCTCATTGTCTCTCCTCGAATTTCCTATGCTCAACGCGCACGTGGACAGTGATTGTGAGCACATTTCCTACAAAGTACGTCCACGTGTTTTCTGTACTTACATTAACCTTCTTTCCGGGTGCGCATCATTTTCATTCTTTCTAAAGCATCCGCAACCTTTCTGTTGCTCCCTGATGTACTCTCACGTGTGTAGATTTAATTTGCTCTAGCCTACTTTTCCATCAATTTCCCCGTATATTTTGCGTTGCATAATGTTTATGTGTTACCATACAGTGGTTTCATGGTGTGGGACACTCTAAATCATGTGGAGTATGCACTTTCAGACCGCTTATTTGTTCATCCATTCGCTTTCTTGTCTGAGTCAGGGAGGAATACTTCCATCGGGACTGAAACTGAAATTGTCACCACGAATAATAATAATAATAATGTATATTCTCAGGATTACGAAACATGCTGTTTACGGCATGATCAACATTGTTTCTTATCATATCTACAGCTTATTCCATATGTCAGACAGAAATATGAATCGGGTTTTTAACCTCCATACTTGTCCAGTTCAAAACCTTGAATAGGCACAAAATAATTCGTGGCGTCCTGACGGAGATCTCCGTGTACAGACAGAATCAAGTGTTACTTTTTTGAGTGAAGGATTAGGAGCAATTATGTGGGGACAAGATAATCATCAGAGCTGAAATCATACTTCTTATAGTAAGTGGTATCTAATTAAGGCTTAAATATTTTCTATGTCTCGTGACATTTTAAAAATGTGTGCTGAAAGAAGGTATTTCTTTATTTTAAGTTCAGCAGCTGTGGATGTAAGCCGAGACCCTTAGAATTAGAGATTTAACTGTTGTATGTGAGGCAAACGTGGTTGACTTTGATCAATTAGTTCAGGCATTTTGGGTTGCCCGTACACTAGGCGTATGCGAAGAAGAGGAAAATGAAAAATATCTTGGAAATGGACATGTGTCAGCTGTACGTCATAACGGCGCTCCGCTGCCGTGCGACCACCACCAGTCGCACGCGGGCTGAGTATACAGTGAAGATGCCCACCCCTACGCGGATTCGAATCCGCGCCGCAAGATTACGAGACAAGCTCGTTACATCTAGGCTACGGGCCCACAGCGTTTCCTTCTCAGCTCACACTTGTTGTTATGGCTGTAAGCAGAATATAAAAAGGAGCCAAAATTGGTTAGTTCCATCTGTCTGCAATTCCTCTGCAGCCCATACCTATTGGTGTCTGTGAGGAATACTTTCCCTAGTAAAAGGAGAGTGAATGAGGTTCTGTCAACTCCAGGAGGGCTTGGCCGAATAACCACGCAGTACGTAGCACATTTTATGCGTATTGGTAATCAGCACACCTGAGTCTCGGCCTCTTAATCAAATAGCATATTTTTATTGCATTATAGTTGCAACATGGTTTTTTTGTATTTGACTGTCAAGCAGCTCGAGACTGACGTTTTAAGCACTGGTTGCGATTCACATGCTCTTCTTTCAATACCGAGACGGTTCCAGATCCAAGTGTATCTGTTTAGATGGGATTTTATTCTAACGTTACTTTTCGTTTTGAACACTGGGAATGTGTTCTTGGTATTCGTTATTGTGTATCTACCTTTTTGTTTGAAGTGGGTAGTGGTATTTGTGCAAATAGACGCTTATTACCCAAATCAAATAGGTATGGTTATTAATCCCTACTTCAAGCGTCTTGGCTACAGTGACTTCAATTGTAACATTTTACAACGCCTGGAGTAATTAACTTTTTGGACGATGAATTAAGGGATGCTTTTATGAGTGATCGCTTCGCATTTTCTAAACACCTGGTCGCGTTTTCTGCTGCGTGTAAACATACTCGAACAGTACTCTGACACAAGGCGAATGCAGGTCTTAAACAAATGCATTTTAAGCTCACGCATCGAGAATGATTTTACCAAAGTTTAGCGCTTCTTCCTGATCTGACTGTTATGAATTTAACTTGTTCACTAAGATTCACAGTGTTAGAGTGTTGAATGCCTAGATTTCGTATAGTCTTATTACGCGGGATGGGCTTACAACCAAAATAAAATATATTTGGCGATAGTTCGCACACAAAACACTGCACTTGTTCACTGTGAAGGATATTTGCCAATCGGTGCACCACGATTCCAAGGCAAGCAGGTCTATGCGAACGTTTTCTAGAGTACTGTTCAGACACTGGTTATCGAAGGTGTATTGTACTTGTATATTCTCTACATATATATATATATATATATATATATATTAGTGTCCAAAACTTTATTGTTTCATTTCTGTCATTGATAAACATTAGAAAGAGCAAAGGACCCAACACACTGCGTTGAATCACATCACTTTTGTCCCGCAGTGGTGAAGACCCGACATTCGCCTTTTGTACCTGTTGCGTGCGATCAATGAGGTATGATTTGAACCTTGCGTGCAAGGGATCAGGGATTCCGAAATTTGTTAACTCCAAAGGGCTGTCGTGCGGCACTGTCCAATTCCTGCTTGCCAATAAAGAGAATGATAACCGCATTGCTTCCGTCATTGGAGCTTGTCAGATTGTGTAGAAAGGCTAGCTGACAATTCTGGCATGAGCGTCTTTGCAAAAACCCATATTTATCTGGGTTTGTCAAATTCAAAGACAGCAACTGCATAACGGTTTTCTCTTTCACAATTTCCCATTATTCTAGAGATAATCGGTGTGTGGCTACTTAGGCGGTAATTTTCAATATCCAGTTTTAGGCCATTGATTCGGGAATCTCCCCAAGTGTTACTTCTCCTGAAGTGCTAGGGGAACTGGCAAATTGAAAAAAGCTACTTGCTTCAAATTCCCTCGGTAGTATAATACAGTCTTAACAGAGATTGTATGGTACAGTGCAGAAGATTGTCACATCTCAAGTGTATTTCTAAGTGCCTCTGCGACAGCTGGTCCAATTCACCAGCGGACACTTCACATTCTATCTCGGAGGAAAGTTCGCTTGTTCAGTATCCACAACATGCCTAACATGTATGCATTCTTCTCGGTGTGCCGATTATTGTTCATTAATTTCTCTTTGTCTACCAAACGATAGCTAACATGTTCCACCGAATGAACATTTGGTTAATGTGTGTAGGACATCACTGTGTGGAATATCTAAAAGCACTTCAATTCGACGAGTTATTTATTGGCATGTAACACTTTAAACCGATGGACTGGTGGTCTCGGGATGAGTTAAAACGATCGTTGCTGTGCTTGTGATATGTTCCACAGACTGAGTTTCACATTTCACCTGGAATGACTTATCACAGCTCACGTGCGGTGTTTCATTACGTGATTAATGGCGAGGATATTGCTGAGGTGTCGCTCACAACCGGAACCTCTGGATGCATTCTGGCTCTTTCATCGTAAAGTATCGTGTTAACATGTAAGTATTTGTTGAAAGTGATGCCAACCTCTATTCGGCAGCACGTGGCCATCCACTTCTACTCATAGCTTACTATGTTAAGGCTGTTCCTCACGTCTTTCGCCACCCCGTTCTTTCTGTTTCTACGCGCGATTCTATTTGCTTTGGCCGTGTAAGTTGCATCTGGCCAATTCTCACGGAGTACTCACCATCTGCCCCCCCCCACTTCCACTACCGTTCCTCTAAAGCATGTTCCACACCTTTGTTACTAACGACCGTTTACGATCGTAATTTGGAAACCGGAATACACTTCTCTTATATTGAATACTGCTATATACATCGCTCTGCTATTTTTTCTGTGGTATACTCACACACGTGGCATTTACAAGCGTCTGTAAAAACATATGATTTGCATATTTTCAAACGGGAATTCTTTCTAGCACGGTGGCAGCGGACTTTTGTTTCTTCTGCGAACCATTCTTTTTTTCTTGGCCTCAGCATCCTCCGATTAGATTCCGAGCTCTTTTTATGGCATCGAATTCCTGTCGTCCGCCTCCTGTATGTCAAACTTTTCAGTTTTTGGTCCTTTTTGTTCTGAGATAGTCGGATTTCGTCACTATCTCTTCGTGGTTTATGACAGCTCTACCCCCAGCGCCGTAAAGCTAATATCGTGGCTTGGAGATGGAACTGCGCGGCTTCGATACTCACAACTTTACTACTATTACAATGATTTTATAACTAGACATAAGGATTATATCGGCATAAAACTCATTATATTAAAACCCTATGAACTCAAAAACACGGTTCTGTTTCCCCATACTTCGTATAGACTTGTGCTTGGTGCTTTTGCGTCCTGTGATTTCCTGATGGTGGAATATCCGTACTTTCTTCTGTACAATCCCGTTCGTTATAACTACGATACGACTTACGGAACCCTGTTCGAACGCTGATTGTTCCATCCTTCGAACCCTTACTACCGCCATTTTGTCTGCCACTTGCTTGCAGCAAGCGCTCTACTGGATTCGGTGAAAAAGACCTCATGTGCTTTATCCCGTATATTCCGTTATGTGGTTTCCAATCGACACTGATCGTTTCATTTCTTTTGGTTTACTACAAGACAGCTCATAACATTGGTGTTGCCATGGATACTCCTGAAGGATTATTGGTTCCCACTATCAAATCAGTTGAACATTTGTCCATCATCGAGATTGCCATTGAACTAAGTCGCCTTCAAGATCTTGGATCTCGCGGAAAGCTGACTTCCGACGACTTAGCCGGGGGCACTGTAACACTCTCCAATATCGGCAGTGTAAGTGCTATTACTACGAAACATTCCTTTTTTGTTCCGATAGCTAGTAACACATCCTGCATAGTCTTTTGTCATGGTGCCTATCCTTTTGACCATATCATTCCTTTGGGCTACACACAGCTACTTGTCTCCGACTATTCAAGTGATGAATCCGTCACTGACATCCACTCACTTAGTGAGTATGCAGCTGGTTGATACAATGAAAAGCTACTCAATTTGCTCCGTTGTAGGTTCACTCCGTAACGCCATTCGTTAAACTTCACAGTTGGCACATTGCCGCATGGTTTTCTGCAGCGTGCTCCATGCGTTGGCCTTGCATGATGTTACGGTACTACAGTGGCTGCTACTATTGAACTTCCTATGTGCTCCCCGTAGTACACATACCACGTTCTACCCTGATTCCGCGTTGTCTCACTTCGTTTCGGGACCAACAAGTGACCTTCGCTCACCTTCCCTAATTCTGTGATAACTTGCGGCACTAGCACGGCTTTACCTCCACTACTGAATTCGTGTCTAATGTCAACAAGTAGTTGGGATCTTTCTGTATTATTTTGGGAGGTTCGTTGCATCCAACATCCACCGCATCGCTACCGCACATCCGGTAAATCGCTGGGCTCACGTTTCGTTCTATTGGCGGTGGTTGAGAGCATGAGCTGCCCTGTATCACAACTACTCGCCAGTCATTGCAGCACACCGCCATGGCTCAATGGTTTTAGTCACTGCCTTCTAAAAGCTTATATACATAAATGAATAACTAACCTATATTTGGTGATTAGAGTCAACCAAGTGTGCCAACACGGCGCTCATCAAAGTTTTTCTTCCACCATTGCGTAGATTAGCTGGACAATGCTCGCGTATTCTCTCAGACAGCCTCCTAATAGTTCTTCCAATGTATCTTGCTCGACATGAACAAGAGAAGGAATATACACAATAAGAAGTACATGACCAGGGAAGTCTGTCTTTGAGTTGGGGCCTCACGATTGGTGTTGAAGTAAAACTTAGCCGCAAGCTCGCTGCGTGGTACGTATGACTCATAGCGTCGGATAATCTTCTAAATGTTGTCTGCGCTATGCCATCCCCCTTGAACGGCAATGACAAACAAACCGGTTTCTTTTCTACCGAAGCTGGTTTAGCTCTCATTTCTCTGCAGTCCATATATTTCCGAACAAATTTTTCTGGATAGCCGTTTCTCTCGAAAACGCCACTTAAGAAACTGAGCTCGTCCGCAAGTGTGTCCTCACTACAAATCCTTCTGGCCCTTTCGGTTAGACATCTAATCAAGTTGCGTTTCTGATTTATTGGGACAAAACTGGCAAAATGTATATATTGTCCGTTCCACGTTGTTTTTCTATGCACCCTTCGTTGGACTGATCCATCTGGTCGTCTACTAAGCTGAACGTCTAGGAAGGACATCGTGTCATTGACTTCAGTTTCTAGGGTGAACCTGGCATTAGGGTGCGCTGAGTTAAAATGGGATAAAATTGTCTCTGGGCAACAGTGCCTGTTCGTCACGCAAAATATGTCATCCACATATCGTCCGTAATATGGTAGACTGATAATGACTCCGCTCAGATAGGTATTCTCTAAGTTGCTCATGAACACATCCGCCAGTAGCGGTCCAAGTGGTGAGCCCGTTGCTACTCCATCTCTTTGTCTGCATATGGCCCCGTTAAACTGAAATTGTATGTTACTAGTACTGTGTACTGTGTACTAGTAACATACAATTTCAGTTTAACGGGGCCATATACAGACAAAGAGATGGAGTAGCAATGGGCTCACCACTTGGACCGCTACTGGCGGATGTGTTCATGAGCAACTTAGAGAATACCTATCTGAGCGGAGTCATTACCAGTCAGCCATATTACGGACGATATGTGGATGACATATTTTGCGTGACGAACAAGCACTGTTGCCCAGAGACAATTTTATCCCATTTTAACTCAGCGCACCCTAATGCCAGGTTCACCCTAGAAACTGAAGTCAATGACACGATGTCCTTCCTAGACGTTCAGCTTAGTAGACGACCAGATGGATCAGTCCAACGAAGGGTGCATAGAAAAACAACGTGGAACGGACAATATATACATTTTGCCAGTTTTGTCCCAATAAATCAGAAACGCAACTTGATTAGATGTCTAACCGAAAGGGCCAGAAGGATTTGTAGTGAGGACACACTTGCGGACGAGCTCAGTTTCTTAAGTGGCGTTTTCGAGAGAAACGGCTATCCAGAAAAATTTGTTCGGAAATATATGGACTGCAGAGAAATGAGAGCTAAACCAGCTTCGGTAGAAAAGAAACCGGTTTGTTTGTCATTGCCGTTCAAGGGGGATGGCATAGCGCAGGCAACATTTAGAAGATTATCCGACGCTATGAGTCATACGTACCACGCAGCGAGCTTGCGGCTATGTTTTACTTCAACCCCAATCGTGAGGCCCCAACTCAAAGACAGACTTCCCTGGTCATGTACTTCTTATTGTGTATATTCCTTCTCTTGTTCATGTCGAGCAAGATACATTGGAAGAACTACTAGGAGGCTGTCTGAGAGAATACGCGAGCATTGTCCAGCTAATCTACGCAATGGTGGAAGAAAAACTTTGATGAGCGCCGTGTTGGCACACTTGGTTGACTCTAAACTATATTTACCTCGACTTTGCGATACGTAGTCCAACCGAACGGTCTGATTATTACGTATATCGGGAGCGTATGGAACAGATTATTTTTCCTGAGTTTTCCAGATCAGTTGTCAAATTGTTTGGGAGGGCGGGTCTACTTGATCTAGTGAATCTTTCAATTATATTAAGAAGTTGCCAAAATGATAAATGCGTATGGATCCAAATGTTCAAGTGAAGTAATACGCCTATCAATAGAACTGCCTCCAGTGGACCTGCTTCCATGCGGGTTATCCCCTCGAAAGGTTTCACCCGCATTTCCATGCCCCATCTGATCTTGTGCTGGTGTGGCTTTAAAGCAGGTAAGTCATCACCTTATCTTCATAGCCGTATTTCTGTGTATATAGTGTGGACACTCATGCCATCTAGCCTGTAATATCAATCGCTTTTTGGATTCATCGCTTCTTTTACTCCCCAGTGAGTTTGTGGAGTGATACCCCTCGGATAGATACATTAACTAGCCTAGCAAGTTCAATTCGCCACTTCAGGTGATCGATGCAGTTGTGACCAACAATGAAATAAAGAACACAAATAGGAGGAGTTAGAGGCGTAGGAGTAATAAATACACATAGGGTAATATCACCTTTTGCCACAGCGCAATAAAGGCCGATTGATTTTTCGATCAAATTGCACTGTGGAATTGCGGAACACAGATGACCTCTCGAATGATCGATATGCACACAAATCTTTATCAGATGCGCTCGCTAGTGCTCCACCTACAGATGTCAAGCATCACTGGAATTTCTTGCATAAAGCGCTACTTTCTTCCGGCCAATCATACTATGGAATCGTTGGGCGTTCTCTGAAACACTGGATCTGCACGCGCGTTAGAATTGTTTTACCGTCGCCGAGCCATCCCAGCTGATCCAAACTGCGGTGAAGTGCTCCGCTACCACAGCAAACAATTTGAGCAAAGCCTACGTAACGATCGCGAAACTTGATGATCTCAGCGCGCTTTTGAGATGGAGACAGGAGCTCCCTCTGGAAATTCTCGCAACTTTTTCCAGATCCTTCGGACCACTGGCCACAGAAGACCCGACGTCAGTGAAACTATTTGCGGGGCTGATGGATCACAACCACTAATTTGTTTAGGCGCATGGACCGCTGGGCTGAGCTGAGCACTTCCACCCTCGGTTCAGTTCGCCTCCTTCTTCTGTTGGTACCTAATTGTGCGTTTTGGAACACTTCGTTGGAATCACCTACCGAAGCGAAAGCCTGTTTTGAGCTTCGTCACTTGAAGCGATTCAGAGGTGCTGACTCAGTCGGACTTCCTCCAGAGTTGTTCAAGTACTGTGGCGAGAAAATTGCCAACCAGTTGACAGCTATGTTCCCCAAGATCTGGTGTGAAGAAAAGATTCCATCCTCCTGGAGCCAGTAGATTGTCATACCCATCTTCAAAAAGATCGCTCGTGCCTCATGCGCCAATCACTAAGGAATCAGTCTAATCTCCATCGTCTTTGAATTGCTATCATTCATCCTACTGCGCAGGCTAACCGATTGGCGACCTACACTCCCGTGAGAAATGAGCTGGTTTCTGACCCGGTCGTGGGTGTGTAGACCAGATGTTTACGCCCCATCAAATCCTCGAGCAGCGCCACCTTTATTGCCAGCCTACCATTGCCGTCTTTTTGCACATCCGATTTACGTTCGACTAGGTTGAACGGCCTGCTGTATGGTCTTGCCTGCAAAGGAATTGGGGACCCAAAAAGTATACCACCATACTTCGTGCTTTACACAACAACGTCTCTGGTAGAATGAGAGCTTATGGTCAGCTCTAATCACCTTTCGCCATCACTAGCAGTGTGCAACAGGATGCCCCATGTCCCCGTTTCTCTTCAACTTTGCGGTTGAGGATGTCTTATTAATCGTATTGAAAGGTCTCCAGAGTTATGACGTAGAGATTCTTCCAGGTAACCTTGTAACTGACTTGGACTATGCTGATGATACTGTCTTGCTGGATGATGACCCTTCAGATCATACAAGTCGTTCTGAACTGCTTGGTGATTGAAGCTACCAGGTATGGCATAACCTACAAGTAGATAGCTTCCTCTACCTTGAGAGCTGTGTCACTTCTGACAGCACCATTGGTAAAGAGATTTCTCTCCGTATTCCCAAAACCCGATCAGCTTACGCTGATCTGAGGGATCTGTGGCCTCGCCTTGGTGTTTCACTCTCGGTAAAGGGCAGGGTCTACAGTGTCTGTTCGCGCGGTCCTGTTGTACGGAAGTGAGTCCTAGCCGAACCGTGTAAATGATTTGTGTCGGATTTCGACCTTTGACAACCGTTGTCTGCCTGTGTGTGTGGTGGAACACCACGTTTACAAGTACAATG